TTTTTTCCACACGACCGTATTTGTGCACCAAACATCTGTCGGTTTCTTGCTCCGGTTGTACATTTCAAACTTTTGACACCAAAACAGAGCCATAATTAGTCATTTCCCTCTGCTAATTAAAAAGAGATCGGAAGGTATAGTTTATGACCAGATGGTCCAATTTGTGCTGAGGGAGGAACTTTTGTAACATGATGCCAAAACACAGCAGTGTGTCCCGAAAATCCAGACAGAAAAATTCATCCGCTGCTCCAGTGCCGGAAAAATTCTAAGCAAAAGCTGTCAAGTCTATAAAAGCCCTTGCGGTAACCAATGCGGTGGGTTACTTTCTGATTACGGGCACAAGACTGGACCCTTTCTTTAGCATCATTCTGTTCAGGAATATCTAGTTTCGCTTTGTGTAACTGGGAGAGACTAGACTGATCCTATCCTAACCTGTGAGTTTTAGTGGAGTTCCTTATGCAACCTTATTTGGTAAAGTAAGGTAAATGCCCACAAGTTTTGTAACAGAACATAGTAGCTTCATTGGAGAAGGCCGTACGACCTATATTTTGTAATGCACTACTCATAAGGTTGCTGAAAACCCCTCGACAACCTACGACCGGTTTCGCCCCTCTTGGGGCTCATCAGGTAGGCGCAACCCCCGAGTTTCCGTCAACCTTATGTTCTACTTGAAACCAAATTGCACGAAATTAGAGAATATACGCTCATTTGCAAATTAATTAGGTTTTTCAAGAGACTCACCTGGAACCCAGCTGAATCTCTCGGTTTTGATGTTTCCAGGCAGCTGAATGTGTTGCAACAGGCCGCCTCATGTTTCAGTCAACCTATTTCGATTGATCTTCGGCTGAAATGCTTAATACCCGTCAAAAGTCCGGGTCTGCAGGCAGCAGCTAGATGACGCTGCGACCATGCAAGCTTTTTACCGTCCGTGTTGCATCACTCCTGGTGAGAGTGTGATCACCTGTTGCAAGGGAGAAAAGTCAAGGGCTTTAGGAAAATTGATGGAATGGAAGAGACCGGAAAATCCTACTTGAACAAGGTAAGTGAGGTTAGAATTATATGTCGTCTGATCGATCATGACGTCACGGACCGTGAGCAGACAGGTGTTAGCGTCGATGTACCTTTGACGAAGAATTTTCATATTCTGATGTGCGGATGGGTGACTGGAATTCCTCCGGTGATTATGCATCCGAGATGAACCAAGTGGTTAGATCGCGAATTTACTGACCGGAAGGTCTGTGGATCGAACCCGACCTCTGCCTCTCGATTTTCCCTGTCTAGGGCATGGCAGCTAAGCACCGAAAGGGTGCTATAGCTGAACGATTTTGTATGCATCCGCAAAACAAACGACAGTCGTTCATGAATATGAAAGTAAGAAAGTTGCCACTGAGAGAAACGAAGTGGAGCTCCTAATAATGCAGAAATGACTACTTATTTTGGTAAGTAAAAATCAGTGATCTGCCAGAAGACAAACCTAGAGTGCAGAGAAATACAACCAAAAAGCTGCCCAGTGGGTTTCAAGCGCGTGCCACGCTACCTGACTGGGATTTCCTGACTGGCGTGTCAATCGATCCTCACAACCGGGATAGTTACTGGGTGTTCGTTCGATGAGTCGGACACACCAATCACATCGCTCAAGTGTGAACACGTTCGCCTGTCCAGATGTGAAAATTCAAATGCGTTGGTGGAGTAGTGATTACACGCTCGCCTCGTATCTCAGATGTCCGGGATTCAAATCCCGGCGTGTCCATTGGATATGCATTGCTGATGAGCTCTAATAAGAGCGAAACTCGAGTCCAGTACTTCCCTTTGGTGTGGACTCGCGGGAATAATTATGCCAGAACAGGAACACGACCGTTCAACCGAGAGTGATGTGACTATGAACAAAAATCTAGGTGATTTTGCATGACCACCCGTGTATTCGGGAATGTAATCACCAGTAGTATGTGTTGAAACTCCCCAAATGGTCCAGAAAGCTGCCGTCAACCACTGAAACTGACACTTGGGTGAATTCGGTTGTAGGACCCTGACAATTTATCCCGACGGGACAGCTCTTTGAATCCGTTGGGTGTTGAAGGTCCCGTCATTAGGGTTATCGTATGGATACACTAGCCAAACTTGAGCCAATTTAAGAAAAGTTTCAGAAACAACGCTGCGACGTTTCATGCTGGTTGAAGAGGCCTTGTAACTAACCTCATTTACCAGGTTTAAATGAGTTAATCTAGTCATCAGTTGTTGACGACAGACAGTACTTATGTAATGCCTGGCTTGTTTAACTTTTCGGTATTCGCCAGGACGCCCCATTTTTACAAAGTACACGATGAGACATGGACTATGCGATCGATAACTACCAAGCGGATTGCTTCATTGGAAGAGAAGAATACTCCGTGAGCAGCACGAATCACGTGACTTATGAAGTTACCCCCTCTCTTCATCCACAAGCTTTAAACCATACGACTGCAATGAATTTTGGTACAACATTACTGGATATCAAACAGCATAGTGAGAGGGGTATCTAGTACTTGTTTTTATTGATTAATTGGAAATAACCAAACAAGTAAGTAGACCGTAAATAAAGCTAAGTCCGAGTCAATCGCGCCGCCGATCAGACACTCGTGGCCGAACGGTCAAGTATTCAAACTACCGACCGGGAGGTCACGAACTCGAGGCTCCCTAAGGGAGTTTCGTGAGATGCGCACTGATAATGATTCCGAATAAGAATGAAACAGCTGTACAGTGCTTTTTAGTTTTTTCGGCGCAGACTGGCCCCATTGACAAGACGAAATCTCCACCAAAAGCTTGATAATGTCAACGTGAAATGTACTAACTTAGAAGCAACTTGGCATCTAAAACAACAGTTGTTATAGTGGCATTTGATTCTTGTTCGATACAAAGGTATATTCGGTGGAACCTAAAAAAGTTACCACTAAATCACCTTGCATACCGGTGACTGATTGGTCGTGACCTTGCTTTATTTTCAGCTCCCGTAGAATAGTCTATTGTTCCACGCTTTCCAAGTTATGAAACCCTTTTTCGGACAGAGTTGTTGGTTGGGAATATTCTAGGCCTATAAAAAATTTAAATGGCGATTTCGTCCTCCTCACTCTACCAACAATGTATAAGTAGCTCGGAGGAATAGTAAAATTTACTTCCATCTGAGAGGTCATCACTTGAGGAATCAGTCAACACGTGACCACTTAATGTGGATTCTGTGATTGAAGGATAGGTGGCGTTTTATCCTGTCCAAGTGCGAGTTAATCACACTTCTGATCAGCCGCTCATGGCCAACTTGCTTGTCTGGGGATCGCTGGTTGAAAACGCCACGGATTTTGTGAGATCCGCACTGCCGATAATTCCCGAAACAACTGCTAACGCTTAGATGTGTCAATGGGAAACATTTTCAAAACACCAGCATGGAATGTTTTCGGGACTGGTATCTTAAAGCTACCTGGACCCGAAATTTATGCTCCGTGTGGTTCGATTTAGCTGAGTTTTCGGCCAAGTACTGTCAGCCAGACCATACCTTTCACATATCTCTACAGGTCTCTCCATCCCGCAGCGTGTATCTGCTCTGGTCAGTTTCATGAACCAGACGGCCTCTGTCTCCGGCAGTTCAGCTTTAGGAGCTTTACATCAGGGTAATCTTTGAAATGGTTCAACGGCGGCGGTTTGCGTCCAAATTACCAAGTTTTACGAGAACGACCACCTTCTCCGATACGTTTACCCAAGCAGTAAAGGCTGAATGGTGTTGCACTTCTCGGCCGACAGTAACCAGAAGGTTGTATTCTCGAAACGACGCTCATGGGAAACAGTTATTCCTGACAGGGTAAATAAATTTCATGCTGAGTCAGTTTGCTCTTATCTTGGAAGCGGCTTACCTGAAAAGGGGGACAGCACCGCATATAAGTAATCGGATAAGCGTTTGACAGTACTGACTTTCCTGTTCAACACCTTGTCAGTCACTTTATTACAGTCAGGTAGAAAATATCGGCATTTGTTCGCTTGTATGGGTTGCTGGTGATCTGATGACATAGTAGGATGCATTATCTCAGGATGCGTTCTACACCAGCTATCATATACACAAGATGTTGTTGATCTACTTGGTAGAAATTTGACGTCCACCTGGAGTTTCTTCTTCGGGTAAGGAAATAATATAACGTATTCAGTTAAAAGTACCTTGTATTGAAGAGAGACATGAGTGTTTTGCTGTGAAATTTATCTGCTACAGAAAATGGGGAGCATTCATCACATCGTCAAGTGCGATTCGTGGGGATACCCGTTTGCCTGACAGCCAAGACCTCTCATCTAAAAGTACCCACCACATAGGTACAAGGTTCGTCCGATCCGGAAAGTACATCACATGTTGGATTAAACCCGTGGATAAAAAGGTTGGAAGTAGGGCTTGGTTTTAATGTCTCATTTTTAGGACAGTTTCGAGATAGATTTGACTAAAATACGTGTGCTATCCACCGGGAGAGTAATATAAACTGTACGGGGAGAAAATCACTTGCAAACAGTGACTAACTGATTAACAGGGGAATGTTAGTCCGTAATACGCAATAGCTCATTCCAGTGGTAACACCTCGATAAATTTGTCGTAAAAATCCTCGGGTTTTGATAAACAATAAGAGTAACTCCCCAGATGTTTTTTTTTCAGAGAAAACCACTTTCCAAGTGATTCACAACAAGTTCCTCGTCAGCTATGGTCTAATTTTCGATCTAGTCATCCCCTAAAAGGTGTCAAATTTCCCCTTTGTAATTGGTGGTCTATTTCCCTGGGGATTTCCCCGTGCTGTTTCGAATTCGTGCTGACGAATACGATCCACTTTCTCTAATAATATCAGTTACGCTTGATCAAACTGACTAAAAGACCACGAAAACGACATCAGCCAAAAGAGTTATTGGCACTTTGATTTGCACTTTTGCCAAAAGGGCAACTAGATTATCACCACTAGACAGTTTTGTAGCTATTTTATTGCAAGAAGGAGGTAAGTACGATACCCATGGTTTGTTCGAACTTTCTTTCACTCAACCAAAATTTAGGGGGATATTTTCGATGAAAAGATAGACCAGTAACTGCCAATCTTTCAGCTCAGTTCACCTGCAGTCGTGAAACGGCATGAGCGCTTATTCGTAGTCCAGATGTTGGTGTTCACCTTTGAACCTACAACAACGTTGCGGGAACAGCTGATGCTTTGCAGTCACGTGATGCGTTGGTTCATGATTGACAGTAAATGTTGCGATACGCTACATCGTCGGATGCGCTAAATCCAATGACCCTATCGAGACGGGATAATCTATGAAGTAGTTATATGCACACGTTTACATGTATTGGCCTCGTTTGCTCCCTGATGTTCTGACATGTGTAACACACGGGTCTAATTCACTTTGCACTGACCATGTTACTCCAACTAGTGATGCGACGTTTGTAATCCAACTTCCAAGCTCGGTGAGCAGATCAACAACCAAACGGCCCACCGAGTAACCTCTATTCCACATCAACAACTCTTCGTATCGCTATGACGAACTGAATAATAGAATTGCAAATATAAATGATGCCCTTATGTGGGATGACAGCTGGATGAAATCTGCAGATGATTCAGTTCAATTTATACGAAGAAGCGCGACTTTTATTTCTTTTAAGCTAGATAGGTATTTGAACATTTTATATATATAT